GTTGGGCTGGAGGAGTTGTTCAGTGCCTCCGTGGGTGAAGTGCTTACCATGGAATCATGAGGGCTTCCCAGAACCACATAAAAGCTGGGTGAGTATCGTGGCCCCTGCTGTAACCCCAGTGCTTCAGAGGTAGAGGTGGAATTCCTAGAGCAAGCTGGCTAGCAATATTAAGTGAGACCATGGAATCATGAGCTCCAAGCTCAATGATAGACCATGCGTCTGTGTATATGGTGGGACTCAGTGATAGACTCTGCCTCCGTGTATATGGTGGGACTCAGTGATAGACCCTGCCTCCATATATAGGGTGGGGCTCAGTGATAGACCCTGTCTCCATATATAGGGTGGGGCTCAGTGATAGACCCTGCCTCCATATATAGGGTGGGGCTCAGTGATAGACCCTGTCTCCATATAGATGGTGGGAGTAGGCTTGGGAAGACTCCCAGCTTCAAAGTACGGCCTCCATACACATATGCACACACGTGCAAGCACACACAAGCACAGTCACACAGACATTCCACATTCTCACACAAAAAGCAAACAGCATTATTCAGAGAGCCAGCAGTCTGAAAAGACAGTGGATTCCCATCCTGCAGATGTGTTCTGAAGCCATGGGACTGTACAGGGAGGACAAATGAAGGAAGCTTAGTCCTGCCTCCCTGCCCGGAGGCACCTCTCCTCCCTGAGATCTCTGGTGCTGTGGCCTCTCTCTTACCAGGCCTGTCTTTTTTGGAGGTGTGGAATACACCTGGCCCACTGGCTCAGGGCCTTTAAAGGACATCTAAAAGTTAACCGACCACAAACAAACCCTTCCATTGTGTACAGGCTGGCTACTTCCAGCCTGTCAGTGCAGATTCCTTCTTGGAAAGTGACTCAAGTGTGCTCCTAGAAGCATGGTAGAGAGGGGGGCAGGGCCTGGCTTTATGGCACACACACACACACACACAGAACATGCGCAAGCGCACGCAGACACTGTCCCGCAGTCAGATGCTGCCTTCGGCTGTGGGTGAGACTCAGGTGTTTGCAGCATTCAGTTTATCCCCCGGATGCTAATGGCTGCATTGGGTTCCACACTTAAAGGAGGGAGTTCACAGAGCAGTGCAGCGTCTGAGTGAGCAAACCAGTGAATTTATATTCAGAAGCTGCTGAACTCTGACCCGTTACCGACCGTGTGCTCATTAAAAACCTTTAGAAAAATGAGTCTGCCAGTTTAATGCAACGCTCTGTGTGGGGGGTTTTATTATTAGTGCGACTTCAGCAAGCAGTGTACCTGTTTCCACGATCAGCACTCCCTCAGGGCAGGGAGGGGGAACGGGCTTGAGGACCTCTAAAAAGCCACTCAAGGCTTTTAATGACATGGCATTGCATCTCCATGTGACCTATGCAGTTAAACTGTTTTTAAAAATTGCATGTGTTGGTGTGCACGTGGAGGTACAGGTCAACCTCAAATACCCTTGCTTAGGTGCTGACCTCCTTGTTTTTTTGAGGCAGAAGCCTGGAACTCGCCCAATAGGCCCTGCTAGGGGGCCTGGGAACCCTAGACATATGCCAGCCCCGGCCTCACTAGCCCTGGGATTCCAACCTCTTGGCACCATACCTTTTTTTCATGGGTTGTGGGGACTGAACTCAGGTCCTCGTGCTTGCAAAGCAAGCACTTTTGCCAAGGATCTGTCTCTCCAGCTCAATGCACTTGCTCCTTAAACCATGTTCAGATGACTTGTAGTAACTCACCGAATGTCAGTTGTATGTCAGTAAGATGTTGCCCGGCCGGGAGTACTGAGGAATGACAGGAAAGCTGTCTGAACTCGTACAGTATGGTTTCCTTTGTTTTCTTCCAGTCTGTGGTTGCATCCAGCGATGGAACGACGTATGGATTCCTCAGAACGTATATTTCTAGAAATCTCCTGCAAACACAAGCCTCTTAGCCACTGAGCACAGCCCCAGTTCCTCTAGGGACAGGGAGGTGTTCCCTCTACTACCCCGCCAATAATTTAAACCGGAACACCTTGCGTTTTCCCCCTGGGAGGCATGCCTGGCATCAGGCCTGTTGAAAGCCCCAGTCTTCTTGGCCCGAAGGCCTGAGTGGCCTGTTAGTCCTGCTTTGCAGCTGTCTGCCTCTGCCCTGGCTACACAGTTGGTTGCTCAGCTGCAGAGACTGTCCCCGGCGGTACCACACAGATCCCACGCCACTAGGGATGTCCAGCTTCACCCGGGATCTTTCTGTAGGTCCCTTAAAGAACACAGGGGTTTATCTGTCCACAGCACATCAGAAACACAGTTGAGTTTCCTAGTAAAAATAGCACAGGAGCCATTTGCAGAAGCTGAAGGCTCCGTAACAGGTGGGGAAGAACGTTGATTTGAGAACTCCCCAAGGTGGTTTCACGGTTTGGGGTTTTGTTTTGGCTTTTCTGTTTTGTCCTTTCCTTTCAAAACGCAGTGCCTTTAAGTTTGCAGCCATCACCTGCTGTCGTATCATTTGATCTGAGGAATTTAATTCCTTGTTCAGAGCCTTCCTTATTCCAGGGAGGACTGAGGGTGATTTTATCTAAGTTGTGAAGAAAAGTGACTGTCTGTGCTGTCCCCGACAGGTTTCTAATCCTGCAGCTCTGCATGTTTGCAATTAAAAACTCCATGGCACGTTAAGCCTTAAATAAACCCCACTTCCTGGGTCTCAAATGGATGCGGCTGCGTTTCTGCTTCTGTGGCTGTGTGCCCCAGGCTCTGCTGCACCTGCCCCTGCTGGTTTGCTTCACTACAGCATCAGAAGGAAAGTAAGCAGGTGGTGGAGAGGCAGGGACAGCTGTGTGCAGGCCTGCTGTAGCTAACACGGCGGTTCAGCCTTACAACTTCCTAAATGCATGTACAGCAGGGGACCTGTGTGCCTGTAAGTGCGCACAAAGCTGTCGGCCCCTTGGGCTCGGGGCTCCCTGTGTCTCCGTGTTCACTTTCATTCAACATGAACGGGACTTGCAGATCCTGTCGTAGGAGCTTACAGCATCAGAAGCAAAGTAAGCAGGTGGTGGAGAGGCAGGGACAGCAGTGTGCAGGCCTGCTGTAGCTAACACAGCAGTTCAGCCTTACGACTTCCTAAATGCATGTACAGCAGGGGACCTGTGTGCCTGTAAGTGCGCACAAAGCTGTCGGCCCCTTGGGCTCGGGGCTCCCTGTGTCTCCGTGTTCACTTTCATTCAACATGAACGGGACTTGCAGATCCTGTCGTAGGAGCACTCTGCTACTGCGTTTTAACATCTCGATTTGGAATGATAAGAGAAACGGCGGTCAAACTTCCCAGGGCTTTTCAACATCGAGTACAGCTCTGAGCTGTGAGGTTCGTGCCTGTGTCAGGGCTATAGCAAACAGCCAGAGTCGTGGCCTCAGTGAGCCTTCCAGACCAGGTCCTCCTGCCTGTGCGTGGCCCAGGTAACTGTCGCCCACAAGTAGGCATTCCCACTGCCATCTGAGCCTTGTGTCTGCTAGATGCTACTTCTTGTTTGCACAGTGAACACTGGACAGCACGGAATAGAGCACAGGTTTTATTAATGAGCACTACTCATCACCCAGGGCTATTCTGAGAATTTACATCTGTGAGTGGAGTCACTGCCATAGTTATTGGTGTGTACTATGCCCTACATATGCAATATACGTGTGTGTGTGTGTTCAACGCAGTATAAATGTGTATACAGTTGGTACAAACTTGCCCTGCAGTGTACACTGGAGGCTTGGTTCTCAAATCCTTGTGTATATGAAAATCTGAGGATACTCTAGCCCCTTGTATAAAATGACCCATAGCTACTCACATCCTCCCTTAAAGTCTGAATCTTATCTCCATGCTGAGCAGTACGCAGTACTCCACAGACAGCACAGAATAGAGCACAGGTTTTATTAATCAGCACTACTCATCACCAAGGGCTATTCTGAGAAGTTACGTCTGTGAGTGGAGTCACTGCCATAGTTATTGGTGTGTACTATGCCCTACATATGCAATATACGTGTGTGTGTGTTCAACGCAGTATAAATGTGTATACAGTTGGTACAAACTTTGCCCTGCAGTGTACACTGGAGGCTTGGTTCTCAAATCCCTGTGTATATCAAAATCTGAGGATACTCTAGCCCCTTGTATAAAATGACCCATAGCTATTCACATCCTTCCTTAAAGTCTGAATCTTATCTCCATGCTGAGCAGTACGCAGTACTCCACAAAGGGAATGCGATATTGATGGCTGTCGTACTGCACTATTTAATGACAGAGTCAGCACATGCTCAGGGTGCATGGCTATTTCTTCCCGATACTTTCAGGCTGAAGTTGGTTGGACCTCAGCACTCCACAGAGGAGGGGTGACCACGCATACTGTAGTGTCTGTGTTTTAATGTGCTACGTGCTAGTGCTGTGGATAATATAAACTAGTGCTGCTGCTCACCATGTAACGCAGGAAGAAGGAAGCAGGGGGAGGTTACCTTGTGCAGGCTGCTTTCCTGGTGAATGCTGACGTGGCGCCAAATGTGCAGTCAGCCTGACCCCAATTCTCTGACAAGTATAACTACCTGTACATGTGTGGTAGTCTCCTGTGGAGGCAGGACACAAAACCAGCTTCCCATGGGTGGAAATCCCTCCAAGGAGGAGTGGAAATGTCCCTAAAACCAGTGGGCCCGCCCCATCTGTGTGCTGCTCTGCTCAGTGCACCCGAGGGTATGAGGTAGTAACAACCTCAAGAGCAGGTTTGTGCTGCATCTGCGCCAATAGAATAGGGTGACACAGACGTCCTTTCTCTCCTGATGCCTGCCTGCCCAGGCGACAGGTCTGGACACATGTGCCGCAGCCTGCGCAGACACAGTGGAGGCACCTTTTAGTGATGGAAGCCTAGCATCTCCGCTGGCTGCCTTGGGTGTCCTCGAAAGCCTTTAGAATGGGAGCTTCGTGGTGTGTGCTGGTGATGCTGGGATGCAGAATTGGTGTGAGTGTGGTTCGCACACTAACTGCATCTTTCTCACTTTTGTCTCTGCAGATACTGAACGGCTGTATTCAGTAGTATTTCAGGAGATATGTGGTCGCTATGGAAAGGCGTACAGCTGGGATGTCAAGTCCCTGGTGATGGGGAAGAAGGCGTTAGAAGCCGCCCAGATCATAATAGATGTCCTGCAGCTGCCCATGTCCAAAGAGGAGGTGGTGGAGGAGAGCCAGGCAAAGCTGAAGGAGCTGTTTCCCACTGCTATGCTCATGCCAGGTGCGGCTGCCTAGGGTCCTCATCTTCAGGACCACATGTGCGAGTATTAGCGACGTCTGAATCGCATTCCACGTCTTAACATGCTCAGTTATCTCTGTCTTGTGAAGTCTCGGGGTGCTACTGTGGGGAGCGCTAATCTGCATTCTCTAGGGTCCGAAAGCACTGGAGTTGTGTTTATATCAGGATTGTACTATTTTTTTCTGATACTGAGGATGGAGCCTAGGGCCTTGCCCATGCTTGTGCTTGGTAAACAGTACCAGTGAGCTACAAACCCAGCCGTTTCTAAATATTCTATAATGATTGCATTCGTGATGGAATTGCTTCAAAGATCAACTTCAGTAGGTAGCTTTGCCTTTTTCTTTTCAAAATCAGATATAGGATTAATATTTCAGCAACTATTCAGACTTTAACAAGTCGATAAGCAGCTAAATCTCCCCAAAAGACGCTTAATTGAAAGGAAAAAACGTTAAATCTCTTCACTTGTTTTTCCCATGTACGTCCTGGTTTCTTGTTTTTCATCTTTCAGTGCAGGGCTTGTGGAAGCTAAGCAGTGCCCTTCCCCTCAGTGGTAGACACCTCCTGCATGTCTTTACCTGGGCCCTGTTTCCCTTGTCAGGTCCCACGACTTTGTGCCCTGGGGTTAGATGGCTGTGGTCAGTCACAGCTAGCTTGCCTGCTAAATGCTAAATAAGTAAAGTGCACATATATTCTAGACTGCAAGCAAAAAAGAAAAAAAAAATAATAATCACGACACGGTACACTTAGCTACATGCAGGCAATACACGCATACACATAAAATAAAAATAATAAAATATTTTAAGAAATGGACCTAGAATATTCCTCTCCAGTGTTTAAAAATTCTGTCTCTGGAATTCTCACTTCAAGGAAAGAAAAAAAATCACAACAGCACTGATTTTATATTTATATTATGAATTTGTTGGACTTAATCCGAGTCACACAGTTTTGAAGTTCATGTGTTCTTTCTATATTTATTATGCACACCTGTGGTGGTTTGAATGCAAATGTCCTCAGTAGGTTCCAAGCATTTGGACATTTTGTCCCCCAGGTGGTCGTGCTGTTTGGGGAACTTTTAGGAGGTACAGTCTTGCTGGAGGAAGCACACCGTGGGGGTGGGCTTTGAAACTTCTTAAACCTTGCCAGAATTCCAGTGTCTCTCTGCTTCCTATGTCTGCTTGAAGATGTGACTTTCTGCTCTGCCCACCTCCTTCTACCATGCCGCCCCTGCCCTTGTGGACCCTTGTCCCTGGAATAAGCTCAGATGCTTCCCTCTGTAAGTTCTCTTGGTTGTGGTGTTTATCTCAGCAGCAGCAAAGACAACGAATCAGAAGTTGGCACCAAGGAGCGGGCCATTGCTGAGAAGAACCTGACCGTGGGGATTTTTGGAAGATTTGGGAAGTGTGAACTAGAAAAGTGGTTGAATGCTGTAAGCAGAGCTGAATGGGCTCCTCTAGTAGGTGCCTGGAAGGAAGTAGGTGCTGACAGCAAACTGGTTCCGGAGGGAAATAAGGACTTCAGCAACAACTGGGATGTTTTGGCAAAGCACCTGGCTGTAGTCTCCCACCAACCCAAGATGTTGCCTACGTCTAAGTTAAAAACGAACAGATTTCTTTGGCAGAAGAAAGTTGAAGACAACGTGACATAGAATTGGTGGTGTGGCTCTTGATGGTGGATATTATGCAGATCTGCAGCAAAAAAGGCTGAATGGGGCAGAAAGAAATTTGAAGCATGGGATTTGTATTGAGAAAGAGTGCTAGGAAGCTAAACGTTGGAGCCAGAATGTTGAAGGACAGGCTGTCTTTGATAGAAAAGCTTCTAAGGGGGATGAAGCAGGCCAGGTCCATCCCAGGTGGGGACGGGCATGTGGCAGTGTCATTAAGTTGGTGCAGGCTCTGGAGACATGAAAGGTGCTGTAGTGAAGGGTTCCCTCATTCTTCCTCCATATTTCAGAGAGCCACCCAAACCAGGCAGTGTGCAGTAGTGGCATGACTGCTGAAAGCAGGCGTGACAGGCCATTCCCTGAAGCCGTGACGGGGAAGCTGATTGGCAGTGGAGACCTCACGGTGCTATTGCTGGGACACATCTGTCAAGGAGAGCTGCATACAGGGAGTGGTTCCAGCCCAAGGGAGGATGGGTGTTGCGTGGAGCAAAGCGTGAGGGGCCGAGCCAGCTCAGCCCTTTGGAACTAAATTCCCAGGCGTTGTTCACGGAGCTGCTGGATTTGGTGTTTGCCCTCCTGGGCTTTGGTCTTATTTTGCTGCAGTGTTTCCTCACTGTGCCCACATTCCTCCCTTCTGGAATGGGAACACATACTTGGTTCCGTTGTATGTGAGAAAGATGCAATTTGTCTTTTGTTTTACAGGAGCTTATAGTTAAGAGATTGCCTTGAGTCTCCGAAGAGACTAAGGACTCTGGTCTTCTTATAAACACTGGCGTCTTTTGAAGGTGGACTAAATGCATGTTGCATTTTATATGGTCATGAGCCTGTGGTGGCCAGGGAGTGCTTCATTGTTGTTGATCTTGTCTGTTTTGTTTTGTTTGTTTTTTGACACAGGGTCTCCTCATAACCCTTGCTGGCCGGGAGTTCCCTATGTAGACCAGGCTGGCCTCTCTGTCTCAGAGATCCCCCTGCTTCTGCCTCCCAAGTGCTGGGGGCCAAAGCTCAGCGACACCGTGCCCAGCTGAGACGTGGCTCATTTTTACATTCCGTTTATATGTTCTATGCTGAAAGGTGCGACAATATTGTTTTCCTTGTGAGTATCTCATTATTCCAGTACCAGATCACTTGTTGAAGAGATTTACTTTTCCTATGTGAAGTAATCCTGGCTCTAAGGTAGATGATGCTTTGACCGTACCTGATACGGGTGATTTGGGGGCTGTGATACTTCATTCTTCTGTATGCCACTACCAACCTGCTTTGATCACTGTGCCTTTGTAAAATGTGGAGGGATCAGGAAGTGTGGCACTTCTGACTTTGCGCTTCTCTTCCAAGCTTCTTAAGAGTATTACGCCTCATGTGAGATGCCTTGTAAATTTTAGGATGGATCGCTGTTTCTGCCAAAGGTCACGTTAGGATTTTGACAAGGATTGCATTAATTCTTGAAGTGTGTTTTCATGTTATAAACATCCTAACACCGTTCAGATTTGCAGTGCATGAACAGATGTCTTTCCATGGGTTTCTGTCTCCTTAAATTTCGTTCAGCAGTCACTTTGATTTCTGTGTGTAGTCTTTCCATAAGTTTATTCCTCAGTGTGTTACACTTCTCAATGCCATTTTGACTAGAGGTTTTGTTTTTATGTATTCGAGTGTTTTATCTTCATGTGTATACATGCAATGTGTGTGTGCAGTGCCTGTGAAGCCCAGAGGAGGGTGTCAGATTCCCTGGAACTGGAGTTACAGGTGGTTCTTAAATGCCCTTTGGGTGCTGGGAATCAAATCTGGGTCCTCTGCAAAAGCAGCAGTGACCTTAAGTCATGAACAATCTCTCCAGCTCCAATTAGGTTTATTATTATTATTATTATTATTATTATTGCCTTTATTGGACTCTTCATTGTTAATCTACAGATATGAAACCTATTTTATTTCTGTATTGATTTACTAAATGGCATAATGTGTGTGTGATCTTCTGCACAGAAGATCATGTTATCTGTGAGGAGACATCATTCCATTTTACTTCTGTTTTCCATTGGGGTCTCTTTCTTTCTCTTGCCTAATTGCTTTGACTAGGACACACACACACACACACACACACACACACACACACAGAGTATTAGTTACTTTTCTGATGCTGTGTGAAAAGACCATGACCAAGGCAACTTATAGTAGAAGAAGGACTTTCTTTGGGCTTAGAGCTCCAGAGGGAGAGTCCATCACAGCAGGGAGGCATTGTGGCAGAGGGGACGAGGGGACCGGAGCAGAAAGCTCCTGCGTTCAAAGCAGAGACAAAACTCAAAACGGGGCAAGGCTGTGACCTCTTGAATTCCATCTGCAGTGATACGCTTCCTCCAACAAGACCACACCTCCCGAAGTTTCCACGATCGCCCGCAGACAGCACGGACACCAAGAGGCCAAATGTTCAGATACCCGAGCCTGTGGGGACCATCCTCATTCAGAGCACCACACACGTGTTAGCATATGGGAACATCATACCCTCTTCCCGGCTGAGGTGAAGAGCTCTTAATCTTCCTTCACGGAGTGACTTCAACTCTGTTGTCTGTCTACATTTCTCTATTATGTTGAGCTGGTTGGTCTCTGTCTATTCTGGGCTAAGTCTTTTCATCCTGAAAGAGAGTTGAATTTTTTCAAATGCCTCTTCTGCATCATTGACATAATCCTCTGGGTTTTGCCGCTCATCGTGTTCTGTCCTGGGCGTCGCTGAGCTTCAGTTCACGAGCACATGGCACTCCACCAGACTGGATGCCTCTCTCCATTTGATGGGAGGATTTGACTGCGGTGTCTCAGTGTTCGCTGGAGGGTGCCGGGCTGTGCTCTTCTTCAGGGTTTGAAGTCTCTGAATTCTTCAGTGATGCCGTCTGGCCGTCACCTTTTCTTGCTACAGGGTTTGTCGTTGTTTCTTTATTAACGGGTTTACTGAAACTTTCCGCGTTCTCCGGATTCAGTCTTGGTAGGTTATGTGCTTGTAGGACTGTCTGCCCATCTTCAAGGGTCTGTCCCCCGCCGTTCTCCCCAGAGCTGCTTTTGGTAGTGGTGTTTGTTCATTGTCCTGCCTCCAGTCCTCCCGGAGCTCAGGCTTTCTTTGGCACTTACCTTTGACCTAGAGTCTATTGTCTGCCTTGGCACACAAGGCACCCTATTGTTCTAGGGGTCAGGGTGTGGTTTCCCTTTCCAGTTCACACAGGCCTTCGGACCAGTTTTCCTCCCACAGCTGTCCTAGATTCTAAGTTGTATTTGAGACGGGTTTTGCTCTTGTTTTAAAACCGTGTACTGCTGTGAGCTAACTTAGTGGGACCACTAATGCTTC